GTCCTCTACATGAAAGGTCCTATACAATTTTTCCGTATGTCCAATGGTTTGGGAGTTATTGGCCAAAAACGAAAATTTGGAAGAAAATGAAGGGGTACCCCTTGGAAAAATCTCGGAAAAATTGAAAATTTTTGTTGTTGTTTATTATTAGCAATGTTTTTCCGACGTCTGATTTCTTTTTAAAAAATGCGTTTCTAAAGTGCATAAACTTTTGGGATTGACTGTATAGCCAATACATCGTTACGCACATGATTTCGTGTACCTGCACCAGTAACTTGATTCGTACACATCCAGCGAAAATGCTTCCAAATATAAAACCCAATGAGTCGGATGTTAATTGTTCGGGAACTGTGGAGACATAAGATCCGTAAGGAATTAACCATTTCCTTAGTACACGTTCGTTGATCCGTTCACCTCCGGTATAAAATATAGCATCGAATCTATAAAAATGATTCGATGTCAGTATACTAAACGAATTACTATCAAACACGTTATACACTTACTTTTTAGAGGGTCTCAACTTTTCTTCAATATCTGTACCATCCAGTGATATAACCCAATCTGCTCCTAAGGCTTGTAATCTCGGAATGGCATTCGGTCTGCACACCGTAACCACATATCCACCCCACAGTTTAACCAGTTGAGTTAAAATAAGACCAACAGGAGTACTCCCACTACATATAAGTACCCTGCAAAGTATTCAGTTTTAAAATATTTATTTTCATTCTTCTATTTGTACTGGAAAAAGAAACGTGCATTCATCTTTTGGAAGTTACTCGTACCGTTTCCCTTTTGCATTGCCTTCTTCGATTACGGATCTGTTAACTAGAGCATCCCAAGCCAAACACCCGCTGTACGGAAGGCTTGCACATGCTTCGAAAGAAAAAATCTTTGGTCGTTTAACTGCTTGAGTTTCTGGAACGACTATATACTCGGCCATAGTACCAGGAGCCCACGAGGGCACAGCTATCAATACTTCGTCCCCGATATCAAAATTGATAACTCTTTGTCCTATACTTATCACTATTCCAGTACAATCTCTGCCCAATGTCACGGGAAGTCCTCTAGATTTCTAAAACAGATAAATAAATAAATTTTAATCGTTACGTTTATTATTACATATTGCTAAATAACTTCAAATTACTTACACCAGAATTAAGGAGTCGTCTGTAGATCTTTGAGTAGCCGTAACAAATTTTTGTATCGACAATATTGAGAGAGGCTGCTTTAACTTGTACCAGTATTTCATTAGACTTCTGAATCATAGGCATCTCTGCATCATCTGTCAGATCCACTCCCTATGCCATTTATGATACATGTACAGCATAAATGCCTGTATTACATTCTTTAAATTATATTTCAAGTCCACTCTGATACCTTAATGCCAATATAATGATGACACACAATAGCTTTTATAGAGTACACATGATTAGACATTTGTCCCCAAGTAATACCAGCATAATAACCAATTACAATTCCAACAATTAAGCCTGCTAGGCAAAACGCGAATTCTCTTCTTGCCACTAGAAAGGAATTGTCTGTTGAGTTATAACGATTTTACTTGTATTGTTTTTACTCAATCAACATTAAATGATCTTTTCCTACTTACCTTCATCGTCCAGCACATCTTTTACTTGCGAATAAAGTCCTATGATATTAAAATGAGCACTATAATACTGATACTGCAGGTGTTTCCAAATTCTTTCAATCCAAACAGGTACATGCTGTAGAACATCTTTGAGATGGTGCCTGTTTAGATTATTATTAAATAATTTGTAAAATAATTCTCTGGTCTGTTTTAAACATACTGAAGCCCATTCTTGTCCTTGATGTGCAACCAATGTACTTTGAATCTATCGAAACAAATTCATAGTACAACCTCAACTTTCCATAAAGTATGATTTATAACTACCACTAATATTAATGTAATAAATCTATTATTTAAATTAGAGATCTGCATGCTGGTATACTGTGTAAATCTTATTCTATCGAGGAAGACATTTTGATGGTAAAGTGTTTTTCAACATAACATGCAATTACCTGAAGTGCTTCGAATTGATTTGACAGGTGAAACCATATTTCATCCATGATTTTATTAATTATTATCACCAGTTTGAATTATATAATTTTTTTCGAAATGCCACAACCGCCGGTTGACTGGAAATGCAGCACGGCAGCGATATAAATAAACGATTAACACACTGAACACAACTTGGAATAGACATCAATAGAATCTGTTTTAAAGTATGACGAATTCGCGAATATCGAAATCCGTAATTCAGAAATTCGCTAGATCGTTCTGCTACGTGAATATCATGTCAATATATAATAATTACGCACTAATTACGAATTATAAACGACGAATAACTTCGTTAAGTGAAATAAGTTATAACCGTAAAAATTTGTTTTCAATTTAGTATAATTTGAACATGATATAACGATTGCGCAACGTGCTCACGTGACTTAAAATTTAGAATCATAACGTATCCAACGTTACATATATTTTTTTGCGATATATGTATGTATTACTAATTAGACAATGCGCAATACTGGGAATTGAAAGATAACCATTAATAAATACTGAATAAGGATTACGTGGTCATACTTTCTCTCTTGCCTCTCGCTGTTGTCTTCTCACTCTTGTTACATTAATATAGGTGGTATTTGATTCAGGATTTGATTGATTTTATTTATAAACAAAATAATTACAATTATATTTAGTTTTAATAATATAAATGAAGTAAAAAAGTTATTCTTCTTATAAATTATGTTTCTGAATTTAATAATAAATACTATCTATCTACATCTCAAATCTTAGATAAGATATATCATAAAGAGCTTATTATAAAAACTGGAGCATGTTAGAATTCCATCTTCTCACCTGAAAAATCAAAGATACATAACTATTTACGCTGCCATAACTTTGTAATAATTTGAGTTAAGTAACATTGAAGAAATATAATAGAATTCAGGATTTTGTTAACTCTGCATACAAAATCTATGTGTTTATACATTACTGCAAAATCATTATAATTTTTTTTCGTTACTACATAAAGAAACATGAGAAGTAAGCACTTACTGATGTCATCATCTCCCTTATTGTCTAGGTTCCATATGAATTCACGAAACATGTGCATCGATCTGTTGAGACTAGTCTTCTTATAATCCCTTATCCTCTTCATGTCCTGTCCAATTTTATTTTTTTCATCGAACTCGTTTATTTCTTCAATCAATGTCATAATCGTGGGAACGTTCTCCGGTTGAAATTTATCGACTGTCTTCGCGGTGAATGGGATACAAACTTTTCCAGTCTTCGGATGGATGCAGAAAGGTGATTTTAGAAGATGGTTCATCCCTTTAGTCACGTTTATATCAAGCCTTGGATAAACGAACTGCAACATCACTTCTTCTACTATATGTCGATGCTGAGACCATTTTTTGTTACCCTGAAATTAATTAAAAGCGTCCAACTGATACATCTTATCTTTAGGAGAGGTAATCATCTGTTAATAGTTGACAAAATAAATACCGTAGTCTTCAAATTTTTTATATAATTCACAAACGCATTCCATCTGGCTTTGCTGGAAGAACATTTATCAAACAATAACTTCAATTCATCTCTGCATTCATCGTCGGAAATTATTTTCAAAAATTGATTCACTCTTTCTTCCGTTCCCAATATATCCTGCTCCTCCACACAGAACGGGACAAATACATTTTCTATTGTTTGTAGCGCCCGTCTAAAACATTATTTAATTTCTCATATACGATATTTTGGATAAATAGAATACCGAAATTATTACATACCTAATGCACTGAGGTATATTTTCACCGAGCCTTACTTTTTTACCCATATATTCGCCACCTTCTATGAGTTGCAGGTATTCTGCGACTGCAGAACGTTCAGAAACAGTTAATTTACGTGCTGCCTTGTCGCACACCCAACAATGTATACCTCTTCTCCCAGAGAATACCCACAAGATGTGTTTATATCCAAAGTCCACTACGAAATTTTTGATACATAAATTTTTCATGTAATTCATCATGTAATAAAATATTCATGTTTCTTACGTCTCAAAGAGGAATCTAATATCTTGCAAGCAAGTGCCATGAACTTCCAACATTTAGAGCAAATGCCTGCACCCGAACAGCAAGTCCTGACCTCATCATAGTCAGTCATATCTATATCAAAAACTAATTCTCTTTCTACGGGTCTAAAACGTGGATTCATATGTTGTTCCCTCGGACTAAACGAAAGCAAAATTCTTAGAATTTACTTAATAACAATTATATATAAAATGTTAATTGTTTAATAGTTACCTAATATTGTATATAGCTCCTAAATCAATCTTAAAAGGAAGCAATCGTTTGATTTCAGTTTCCAACTCTTGTGGATTTTTATATGACTGGAAACGTAAATAAATATCATCCATCACGGTGAATGAAAATTCTCTGTGGGAGAATTTGGACACTGAAACATGATTTCAATAAATTCAACTAAAAAATGCGAGCGCTATGTTTCCCAAAGATTAAAAATAAGAATAAACGTACGTTTGCCATAGCTCAACCAACGATAATAATCTTCGAATGGAAACAATCGAGAATAATAAATTGGTAAAAGATCGATCAAATTAGAAACGTCTCCCATTTTACTTGATTATTTCTCCTCGTTATTATTTCAGTAGCCTCTCGATTGTTCCCAAAGTAATGTTAGGCCGTCAGAATCGCACGAACATGGTCGTACGTGTGTGTTCGGCTGAGTTTTGGCGGGAATTACATATATACATGTACATATATATATGTACGAGTAGTGATAGGCACATCGTAGAATTTTTAGGGCGTGCGCAGTGTTTTCGTTTTTTTAAAATTTATACGAATACACCGCTGTAACACATTTGATACAAGTTAGTTTTAAGATTTGTTGTCAAGGAACCAATAAATCTTTAATTATGTATCTATATAATGATATATATTCGTAATCTGCATTCGCAATCTGCAATTCGTATTCGTTCGAAGCAGTCTTATATTTTATTGTGTTGGAAGCCAATGTAAAAGGAGTAGATAATACACAATTATTTATAACAAATCTAATGAGAACAACGAAAACTTTATTTACAACTTAACTTAACACATAATCTTTTCTACTAAGTATAAGTAAAAAAATAAAAAGAAAAATATAAAATACAAAAGTCGTTCTATATATAAAAATCTATTAGAGTAAGAATTTAAAGCGGGAAGTATTCGTTGGAACATAATCGTATATGAAAATGTAGATGTAAAATCATGCAGATTTTATTTACATATACATTCAATACGAATAGTTGTACTATACAAGGTATCAAACTAAGCCTGATTTGTCCTAAAACACTTGATATGAATACTGAATACGCGTTGTTACTATACATATATATACATATCATACAATGCTTGTATTTTAGACGTTAAAATTTTTACAAATTTAACTACTCTGTATTAAAATTCATGCTGATCCATGAACAGAATTTAAAAATTTATCTAGGTCTAAATTGCTCAGCAATGCTTGAGGATCCGCTGTACATAGCTGTTTGTCCATCTGCAAAGACCGAAGAAGTAAGTATTATAAAAGCTTTCCATCTTTTTTCACGCTAACGAATTAAATTAAAAATACACGTACCTGTTTACTTTCTTTCGCTTGTGATACTTTTCTCTTAGGAATTTTCGTGAACTTGGGAGCCTTATCTGAAATAATAATAACTTGATTATTAAATTTCTGTATTATATATATTTACTTTCAACTTATGATATACGGCACAGGGATAATTACCTGCGTCGATTTTCTGAGTTTTATCTGGTTTCGATCGTTTCTTAACGTCACGTTGCGTGACATCTTTCTCCTTATCTTTTTCACTATTTGGAAAAGTAACTTTCTTTACTTTACATGCAACTGCAGTTGGTTTATCCAAGGGTGACGAAGTCGCTAAAGGCTTCGGCTGTATATTCTTTGTCACCGAAGAAGAGTCGGCAAACATTTTGTGGGATGTTTCAGAATTTCTTTTCTTTAATATCGGCTGCAAATCGAATATCTCTTCGTAATCGCTCGCTGACAAGACTTTAACGCCATCATTACAGCCTGCGAAGTGAACCTCGACTTTCAACTCGTCGCTGTTGTATCTTCGCCTCCTCTTTTTAAAGCTCACCTTATCGTCATATACAAAATGATATTGCACATTATTGAGATCTAATTTCTGATCAGATTTTACAGACTGAGATTCTTTTACGTTATCGCTTTTGCAAGTTGGAACGAGCTCTAAACATTGAAGAACGTGCGACAAATTCTTCCCGTTCTCCGAATCTCTTTGTCGTTCGACTTTATCAGGAATATTATTGTTAGGACGTTGTTCAGCTAAGAGTTCGGTATCATTAGACATCCTACGCTTCTCTTGCTCCTTAATTAATACATTCCTTTTTGCTGGCTTGGACTTCGATTCCAATAACTTTGTTCTACCATTAGCATCGACTGTATTTTTCGGTTTCAGCGAATCTTCCTCCTTGCGATAGTAGTTGTGCTCTTCTTCATCTTCCTTTTTAAGAAAAATTCTATTGTCCTTGTTCATATTGTTAGTACTGACAGCATTATTATTGCTATTGCTATTTGCAATTACATCGTTTGTGACATTTATATGTTCACTCTTGTCATGGTTGTTATTGCTATTTAACTCTGCAATTTTCGTATCTTTCTTACTGTTTAATGTACTAGCATTTTTCAAAGCACTTTTAAGTCCGGTTTCTTTTTTTAAATTAACAGCATTTTTAGCTTTGCTAAGAATCCGTCGAGTTTGAGTCTTTTTCTTGGCAAGATTAGTCTTTGAAACTTCGCGAAATTTTGTTATCACCCGTTGACGTTTCGCTTCCAATCGAAGAACAAGTTTTTCGTCCATAGCCACAGGTTTGTGGTTACTCTTCGACGAGGGAGAACTTGTCACGATGTTGAGAGGTTTCAAAATGACTAACGGGGCTGACGTGACGCGTTCTATACTTCGAATTTTTACTTTTTCCTTTACATTTTTCGACGCATTCTCAATATGTGGACTGTTAGTCACTTTCGGTAACTTCTCGTTCTCCGAAGATATCAGTGCCGAAATCTTCGATGCTAAATTAGTTATATTATCCATGCCAGATTTCGAACTGTTCGGTGTCTCTAAAATATCGATTTCATTTAAAAGAGTTTCATCTTTCACAGGCGTTTCTTTGGTATGAGATTTTAAATCCTTTTCGTTTTCCGTTATCGGAAACGTTTTCAATGGCGAAGACTCATGCTTCTTTAAATGATCATCCGGCACGGTTTGAGTCTCCAAACATTTTGTTTTTTCATTTATCTTTGCGATACGTGTCACTGTAAAATCGTCGTTCGTATCGGTGTAAGTTTGGTTCCAAGATTTGTTGCATTTTTTGTCGAGAGAACATTTGTCTAAAAAGTTCGTCGCCTTTGATGTGGTCGGAGGTTGGGACTTCGACGAGGAAAGTTGCGAGGATGACGACGACGTCGATGATGAGGATGAATTCGATGACGATGAACATGAAGACGAACACGAACTCGATGATGTATTGCTAACATTCATATTTTCGTTCGACTCATCGCTGTTTGATGAATATTTTTTATCATCTTCTTTAATTGTATGTTTATTCATATTCATATCCGGTTCACCATCGTGTACAAACTTAGCTTCCTGCCCGGTGTGATGCTGCATCGATTCCCGCGAATTACTAGCCGCTATTTTCAACTCTTTTATAGCCTGCTCCTTCGGCAAATTCTCTTTGATCACTTCAAACTGCGTTATCTCCAATTTCGTTGGTGCACAAACTCCATAGGTACTCGTAGTTGGCTGCTTTGTATCGTTATTCGAATTAAGCTTTAACGATTTCTCAAAAGATTCACCTTTTTCGGAAGTCGGCTTGTAATAGGGAGAACAAGAATGAAGCTCTTGATTTTTCACGTCGTCTACCGTGATTTCATCGGAAATTTTTGGAGTCATAGTCAAGTTGATGCCGGGTGTCGTTGGAAATTCCGGCGTGCTTATGAAACTACGCACTTTGCTCAAGTCTTCGTTGGATTTTGTGTACGGTATAGTAATATTGCTGGTTGGGCTGAGCAATCTAGGCGTCGGTGGGAGTTCGATTGGGTTTTCTGATTTTGCCGGTGTACCTAACTCGTTCAAATTCGACAATTGTAGTAACTGTTGGTCGATGTCCGAAGAGGTGAGAGTTTTAATCGAGAAACCCTCGTCCTTTCCACACGATTTATTGTCAGTTTGAGGTTTGCTATCTTTCTTCTTCAAGTTAGTCTTTAATGTCTTTATCTGAGCATACTTTTTTACGATCTTCTTTTCCTGCGGCAAAGTATCGGTCACCTTCTTGGCCATTGGTAATTTATCGTTAGCATCCTTTTCTTCATTGACATCTTTATTTGATAGCTGTGTATTATCGTTTTTTCTCGTGTCAGGGATATTATTTTCTTCTAACTTCTTCTCAGGAGCTGTACTTCCCACGGTAGATGATCCCTTCTTCGAGACTAAATCTTTCACTTTCGATACGCAAGCATTGCTTTTATTCTTTTTAACTGTGCCAATGGTATTTAATTTAGTAGTACTCGCAGGATCTATGGTCGTATTATTGCCAGATGTTTTCTTTTGTTGAACAATCTTGTTGTCAGCAGCTGTCAAAGCCATTCGCAGATCTGCATCCCAAGTAGGTTTGGAAAGTTTCATCGATGACACGCGTGGCTTGACTTTGGAATCCTTGTTTTCGGTAGGAACGTTGTTGTTCGAACAAGCAGGAACATCGATTGCGATCGTATCAAGACCATTCTGTTTCCCACAATCACCAGTAAGCTTCACCACGGAACTTTTTGCTGGAACTGGTAGCGTACAAGGAAGTTTATGCATGCTCACCGTGACATTTGAGAACGGTGGTGATTTGAATAGAGATGCGCACACAGACTTAACGTGCGTCGTGGACGATATCTTGGAAGACGAATGCGAGAATCCAATTTCATTGATCGCTTCGTCGGACGTTTTTATCGGAGTGTTGAAGTCGAGAGCTCTTATATGACTGTCCTTTCTTCGAGGAGTCGATGAACTTTTCGTCTTAACATCGTTGCCCGTCACCGGTGCAGCTACTTCGGTGACTGGAGCAGCGGGCGTTAGATCGATGTCCGACAAGCTCTGATTTTGATTGCTCTTGCTGCAGTTAAACTTTAGGTAAGGCGATAGTCCAGAACCAGATATGCTAATATTGTCTTCTATATTTATCGAAGGCACATTTGCACCGTCTAGCAATGTTTTCGCGTTATTCTCATTACCGTACAGCGTTATCAGTTCCCCATTAATTGACTTACTGAACGTCGTCGAATTCGTAACTGAGCTACCAGCGAAATTCTCAGTACGAATGGATGCGCTAGTACCCTTATCGCTACTCGCTTTGTCATTGTTCTGTTGGCACATTTCCATCGTTGTGCTAGTCAACGTTTTTGTCGTTGTCGTCGATGCCATCGTTATCATACAAGAAATTAAGCTTTCCGGAGTGACAATCGGATGGTTATGCACAAATGGTGACACCTTTTGCGCGACATTCACCGTTGTTAGATACATTTTGTCCATTAAACTTCTATCTGGCATATTAGGATCCTTTGGAGCGATAGGAACGAGTCGCGAACTACTGACAGGCATAAAGGAACTCATCGGCAGTACGACACTCTTCGGAGCCAGTACTAACGTCGGGACAGTTATCTCTTCACTCGCTTGCACAGGTTTAACGGGATACTGCGCTCTCTTCATGTATGTCTTTCTGACCTTCGACCCTGTTTCGACACTCTCAACTTTTTTAACAACGTTAGCATCTTCTTTGCGATCGACTTCGATCATTATTTTTTTGGACTGTTCATCTTTGTTTTGATGCGGATCTTGCAATGCTGGTAGCCTATTCTCAATCTGGATAAGCGATGAATGAATGTCTGCTGATACAGTTTCCTTCGTACAGTCTTCTAGTTTTTTCTCATTTGTCAATTTATTATTAATACTATTCGCATTTATTATGCTTAATATCGCGGCAGCGTTTATATCCTCCAAGGCCGTGCAGTCTCTCTCTTGATCTCGTTGCTCATCTTCGTTTCGAACATTCTGTTGCTTCGAAGAACTACGGAGTCTGTGTTTCAACGGTACTGTTGCCATTCTTTCAGCTGATTGCTTACTATCTAATACTGAAGGTCCTCTCTCAGATAAGTTGTCAGTATTCGAAATTGTTTCGGGCTGTTTCTCCTTCGATTCGATAGGAGACTTCGGTTTACTATCACTATCATCAACAACGCTGGGGCTTGTATCTGTCCTTATATGCGGCCCGATGATCTCGTCAAGAAACTTCTCAAATATCGGATCGGACTCGGTCTCCTCTACGATCGATTTAATCGCGTTATTTAATTCTGTCACGACAGATGTGTTAGCTTCACCGTTCACCATTGCGTCCTCCTTTAAAGACGTATCTGTCGGAAGTATCGCCTTGTTTATATTCTCAGCGATTCGTTCCTGTAGCTCCGTACGGTTCAACAGCTCTTTGGTCAATAACTGTAATATTACGAATTCGTGATTTTCGTGAATACATAATAAAACTTTAATCTCAATCGAAAAGTTGCTTACGCTTAGGTTTTCAATCGGCTCGTCGTTAGTCTCTGATCCAGATTCTGGGGTATCGTACGGACTAGTCTGTACCTCCACGCATGAGTAATTCAGTAACTCTTCCGTGTTCGTCGCCGCGGTACATCTGGCAGGCACGTCTGAATCTTTTACACTGTTCCCCGTGCATACATTTTCCGTTACGTTACCAACATCCGGAACGTCATCTGATTAAAATTCAGTCATTAAGTTTCATATGATTGGACATGCTTACATTGAACAAACCTTGCTGCAACGAATTATTCGATGTGCTTTTCTTGGACTCACTGACAGACCGAGACCGTTCAAATATATCCATGTAACCAGGTAAACTCTTCAGCGGAGTTACTTCCAAGTTATCGAAAGCAGCTACTGTAACGGTAATGAAGCGTTCAGAATGAGTTTAACAACGTGTTACATATAAATACGTAAACCGTACCATCAGTAGAGGATAACATCTGCGGTTGTGACGAGCTTGATACAAGTTTTGGACGTTTACAACGTTCGCGATCACTGTTACTGTGATGCCTTTTACGTATGTTCCCAGACAACATGGGAGAACTGCTACTCGACTGAGTACTATTCTGCGAAGGAACATTGATGTTCACAACGAAACGTTGACCGCGAGTCTCCTCTATTAAAAATCTTAACTGTTCCAGTACGTCGCCACAGTGCTTTAACTGTTCGCAATCGGTAATCTTGTTGACATGTTCCCGCACTGTGAACATACATCACGATTGTTTTTATAAGAACAAATTTTATATTCCGGTTATGTGCTGAATGATTATTACCAATTCCAATGATTGCAAAATACTTTTCAATGATATCGACCAAAGCCATTCCATTGACTCTAGTGGAGAACCGTTTCCCATTTGATATAACTACACGGCATTCTTGCAAGTGTATGCTAGTCTCTAAAAACATTTTAGCAACCTCGATGCATTTCTCAGCCTCTAAGTATCCTAAAATGCATTTTTCAAGATGATGAATTGGAGAATTGTTCAGGCAGAGGATAACAATGAATAACAGAAGCAAATAAGCTTTGTAACATTTCAAGATTATAATAAAAAATACAAGTACATGATCCTAGGTATAAAGATTCAATTCTTAACAGTACAGACATTTTGTTTTCTCAGACAAATTCTAGTCAATACATATCATTTCTCAAATGATAGAACAATGCTTGATACAAGGAGTTTCTAATCCTCATTCAATCATAAAAGTTTAAGTAGAATTTATAAGGAAGAACTGTATTTACATTCTAATGAATGACAGGTTATTAGAATATGACGCAAAAGGTATTTGCGAACTTACCAAGAACCAATCGAGCTATTTCTGATGGCAGTAATGTCTCCATAGTGCTTTACGTCATTTATAAGTCAATTAATGAAAATTAAACGTTTTACAGAACTGTTCTATCTGGTTCTGTAACACAATCACTATGTGAATATAAATACACTCCAGTTTGAAAGCGTATTTGCTGTAAACAACCGCCTTTCGTTTAACGCATGAAGCTTACTAAGCATAGATTGCCAGACACGTTCGAAGCAGATGGAAGCAGAGTCTGAACTACCGACCTAAAATGACATGGCCTTTTACATTTAAAAAATTGCTATAAATATAATTACGTTTAAAGTAAAGTGCTCCTTGTAGAATCATAAGATTCAGAGGAATAGTATTTAGACAGAAGTATTCCGTTAATTATTACCTAGGCAGAATTTTAAGTCGATTGAAAATCTTATAATTGAACGGGAGAAAAATTAGCGCCGCTTTGTCCGTATTTTCTTTCTGAAGAGTTCTTCGTGATTATGCTTTCATCGATGCCGCTTTCAGATGCTCATAGTCAATGATCAAAATGGCATAATTCTGTGTGATTGTTTCGTTCGTAAAATAGGTTATCCATATAGTTGTAATTCTTGTAAGGAACAACGAAAATAATACGTTTCGACAGATTTTTCGAAGAATATTATGATTACTTCAAAATAATTCGCATCCGTGTGACGCAGCTTAATGTTCTATTAATCGAGGAAAACGTGGATAATGGCTGAGAATGTTGTTCAGTGCGACGATGAGTTCATACATTCCATTAGAACATTACTCTGGGGCAATACCGTAAAAGAAGAGGTTTTCAAACGATGGGCTCAAGGTAATCTTTTAGTTAAAAATCGTTTTTAGCAAATAATTCACTCACTTCAAAATAATGAGACTTTCAGCAATAATTATTTTATTCACATCTTATTGCTTGTTAGCCGGACGGGAGCTAGTTATTGCTAGACAGAAAATAAGTTCAATAATTTTTATTGTCACGATCGTCTGATTTTGAAAAATGATAAGCTGTCTTGTATTTTAAAGCAATTTATTAGTATGATGACTTATTAGAGTCTTGTCAATTCATTGCTTTTATATAACATGTATATGTATTTTGCTTCAACTCATAAGAGGAATTGTAATTCAATTGCAGAATTACATTTTGAGACAACAGTTATAGAATTCATATCTTGATAAATTGCATTGATTGATTTCGTTAAAACAATTAAAATTGACCTTCATTGTCTCTCTACTCCTCTAACTATGTCAATCATATATCGTCAATATTATGTCATTCCTCCATTAGTAGATTTTCCAACTGATTTTTTGGTCGAAATATTATATCTCTTCAATCCTGCCTCTAAATGTTCTATCAGATTAATATTCGGTGATTAGGGCGAAATGCACGAACTAATGTAGTGCTTCGTTTGTTGCTAATTTCTGTTAACAAATGTTTATGTTGTTCTCAGAGAAATATTGAATGTAATAAAATGATAATATCAATATTTTTTTTAGGATTTTATTTCAGTCCTGACGAACCAACGGCGTTAGTGCAAACAGAAGGTGGCCCCTGCGCTGTGATAGCTCCAGTTCAGGCGTTCATTTTAAAGGAATTGCTATCTGAAGCTGACATCTTAACATGGAAAAACATAAATTCAGACGTGTGTTATCAATTGCTCGTGCGGGCACTGATAGAAATTTTGAAGCAAGCTATGGGAGAGAAAGTCCCGAAGTTTTACATCGTGTTTATGGACTGCGTATCGTCAAACGAAGAAAGTGTAAGAAACACGAAATGGGAAAGGAAGGAGACAGAAATTCAAAACCGTGAAGAAGAAATAAGCATAGAGAATAATGAAAAGCGAAAGCAAACTAACGATATATTGCTAATGGATGTAAACGAGGAATGCAAAATACCTGATTCGGATGTTTTCCACTCTCAGTTAAGGTAAGAAATTATGTTCCACTATACTATTGATATCTTTCGGCAAATGAATATCAAAATGGAAATGTGGTATTTATTATAACAACACACACTTGTTTTAGATTATTTACAACGAATACCACTGAGCACCTGGAAGAATTTTTGCTCGAAAGGACGGAGATGTTAAAGGATCACTATGGTATTTTACTGTTTCTCTACAGTGTAATTGTTACGAGAGGCTTCGCTAAAATTCGTTGTGAAATGTCGGATCCTTTAGAATCAATGATTGACCCGACGTATGGCTACGGAAATCAGAGTCTCATAAACTTAATGCTCACGGGAAGAGCAGTTAGCCATGTCTGGGACCACGATCAAGATGTTGGAGGCCTCAGTATGATATTCCATATATTTTACATAGTTTAACTAATTGAATGTTGCGATACATTCATACGTCTTGCTAAGTAGATCACGTGATTACTTCTTTATTTCAGAATTGCGTGGAATAGATAAACAGAATGCAATAGGATTTCTTGCGCTCCTCGAACATTTATGTTATTGCGAGGTAGGATCGTTTTTAAAATCTCCGTCTCATCCTGTTTGGGTGCTGGGATCGGAAACACACTTGACTGTCTTGTTTTCGACTGAGAAAAGGCTGGTACATCCTGAAACACCTGCAGATCAAGCGAAGCGAGTGTTCAGAAAATTCGACCCAGAAGGAAATAACTTTGTTCCAGTTAATTTACTGCAAGATGTCCTCGCAGAACTTGGACTGGTTACTGATACAGAATAGTGAGCATCAGTAACATGATACATTCATAATATATCGGTGTCTGTGGTCATCTAATAAAGCATTATTTATTACAGTGTGAATGTGATGAAGAAGAAATTGGACAATGAAAATTTGGGAATTATATTGCGTGCCAACTTCATGGAGGAGTTCTTCCCTGAGGAGCCGCGAACTTGTCCGGACACGTTTCCCTTATTTCATTATAACGGTTTGCAACATAGCAATACGGATAATAAAGTAGTCTATCATAAAGGCCAGGCAGTGTTGCTGGAGTGTACTGTCAGAGGTATTATGGAAAGTAATCCTATGTTAACAGTACTTCAAACAAAGTGGCCCAGAATCGAAATTCAGTGGGACGTTGGACAGAATCCAAGTCTTAATTAATTAACTTGTAAATACCTAGCTCATGTTTTCTAATCTTAGCGATACCGTTCGATTATTTTTCTGGGAAGTACGAAACGAATTTATAAAACTGTTCATGGAGTGTTCAAATTCGATAAGTTTTGTGCTTCAAGACATGAGAAATAAAAAGAAAATGTCGGGAATTGGAATATAAATTTAAATTAAAAAATTAATAATTCATTACTAATATATACTTTTAGTGAATTAGGAAAGTGATGAAAATAATAACAATACGATATACGTGCGTGTACATATATTTTAGTATTATTTATATATACATATATAATATAAATAATACCGGAAACTCTTTCCTTCCTTTCAAGATGTATGTAGACACTCTGCTTCAGAAAAGATGTCGCAGCTTTGCATGGAGAACATATGCGACTCGATGAACTATTTTTGAGAAGCAATGAATTGCTTACGAACATAATTACACAGACTTCTATAAAGGGAAACACTTTATAGGAGTCTGTGTAATTACGTTTCGCTTTATTTAAACGTCTTTATTTTTAATCTTGATACATCTATAAAATTTAGTGTACGATAGTAATTACGTGGCAACGTTAAACGTTGCATATAACAAAATTCGAAATGTAAAATTTTGAACATCTTCGGTACTCTCTGAAGCCTTAATACGATATTTGCATTGTTGCAAGTATTTAAATACATATTTGATTATATAGCAAAAATAGTGATATAAAAAGTTTATAATGAGCATTCAAATGTATAGAACATTATTCTCTAATTCCGATATCGAAAAATCGAACGTCTTAATTCTTTGATGTTAAAATTGAAAGAGAAATAAAGAATTTGTGGAGAGGTGAAAGAAACAAGGACATTTTATTCAATAAATGTGAATATTTAAAATAACTAAAATGAAAATAATATTATATCTTAGGGTGTCTTAGGTAAGGCATGTACAAATTTATGTAAATCGTATCTAAAACTGAATATGTAGCTACATCAAAGCCCTGATCTAGTCAGCACATCAGCGTTTCAATAATCTTTTCTGATTTTCTCTCTTTTATTACTGATTAAAGAAACTAAAAGTTTACAGTGTATATGAATCATCTCTCTATTTCACAATGACCTAACAACTAGGATATCGCACGAGCCGCGCGTCTGTGAGCTTGTCTACATCCTATAACATATTTTCTTTTTCAAAGAATTGTAGGGTTGAGAGAAGCGTAATTTCAAATTTCAAGCTTGAGTGCAATCGTCCCGCCCCGTTTAGACCGACAAACTTTCCCCACCCGTTCTCCATCGCCATTCGTACTGCGTGCGTCGCGGCCGACTTCTGTTTCTATTTATCACGTCAGGCGCTAACATTCCTTCAAACCCTTATACGCACATAAGTATTACCGGCAATTACCGGTCTAGATGCTTAATTACGATTTACGACGCTTTTATTATTTGCCATAAGTGTTATAACGTGTAGCACTTGTTCGGCAATTACGAAATTCCGAGCGCACTGGTTATCAGGAATTCCCCACGTGGTTGATTGGATTTCGCGTGTATTTACAGTTGTTATGGACAATGGATAATAATTGTGATTTAATAAAGACGATCGCAGATGACCAGGAAGTGCCAGACTTCTCTGAGAATTCTGACATAGAAGATGATGTAAGCAATCAAAGAAAACATGGATAGGATTATTGTCAACCTTATAAACAAACAGTGAACTCATAACATAACTTGTAGCCTTGTTGATGAAGATATTCCCTCGCACAGTTTCAGCCTAGGAAGCAAAAGAAACGAGAGAACAGAGACTTCGATAGTAGCTTTAAATTCGTAAATGATGTCTCTGACTACAATAAAGACACATGGAACGATTTGAGCAAGTATATAAAACGGAAAGCGAAATCGAAGCTTGATGATAAAATTAAGAAAATCAGGAAAGGAGTTGAAAACGAGTTTCAAGTACGTACATTGAAATCAATATTAATAGAATAAAATAAGTTTATACATTATATTTTCACATCTTTCTTATAGAATGAAGTAGACGATGATTCTACTACAGATGTGTTAGGAATCAAGAAAGAAGATGATGAAATATCTTTGTCAGAAGATGAACTCAAGAAAGGTAATATTATCGATTTAACAGTTCAAAGTAAAAAGGCACAATTATTTCTCTTTATTCTAGACATATTTAAAACAAAGGAGAGGAAGGTTAAAAAGAAAAAAGTAGTGGAAGAAAATGATGAGGAAATAATCGACTTTGAAGAGTACTCAAACACAGAAACCCATGCAACATTTTACCAAATGAATTTATCGCGTCCTTTATTAAAGGTACAATTGAGTATTAACAAATACAAAATAACTGCGGTCTCTCTATCACATAAGTGTGACGATTTCAAGCTTTTATTTGCAGCAGTTTCAGATTAATACTAATTTTCTACTATGTATTGATTGAAGGCTATTGGAACTATGAACTTTGTGCATCCGACGCCTATACAAGCTGCCACTATTCCCGTTGCATTATTGGGTCGCGATATATGTGGCTGCGCCGCGACAGGTACCGGGAAAACTGCTGCCTATATGTTACCAACTCTGGAAAGATTATTGTACAGGCCATTAGACGGTCCTGCTATCTCTCGTGTTCTCGTACTTGTCCCAACAAGAGAACTGGGTGTACAAGTGTATCAAGTTACAAAACAGCTATCTCAATTCACAACAATCGAAGTGGGATTGTCAGTCGGTGGTCTGGACGTGAAAGTTCAAGTATGTGGCACTGAATTAAATCAAGTACTACTGAATTAATGTGTAACTGTATATGTTTTATCACTTCAAACGTAGGAAGCTGTATTAAGGAAAAATCCAGATATCGTGATAGCCACTCCCGGGAGATTGATTGATCATTTAAAAAACACTCCGACGTTTTCGTTAGAAAGTATCGAAGTACTTATTCTAGATGAAGCAGACAGGTAAATTAATATTCGGATTGTGTCTTCGATTTGTATTGAAAAGAAAACTATATCAATTTTATTTAAGAATGTTAGATGAATATTTCGCGGAACAGATGAAGTACATAGTGAAACAGTGTTCGAGAAGCAGGCAAACGATCTTGTTCTCGGCTACTATGACCGAAGAGGTGAAGGATTTGGCAGCCGTGTCTTTAGACAAACCTGTCAGAGTATTTGTAGATAGTAATCAAGACGTTGCATTTAATTTACGTCAGGAATTTATTCGGTAAAATGATCTGTTTCATATCACTGAGAGTAGTTTTTTAGTCTATCTGTTTAAATATCGCATGGAATCTCCTTAGGATACGAAAGGAGCGGGAAGGAGATCGAGAAGCGATCCTGGCTGCTTTAATTTGTCGAACTTTCCACGATCACGTTATGGTCTTCGTCCAAACCAAAAAACAAGCTCACAGATTACATATCTTATTAGGCTTGTTAGGTGTAAAGGTAAATATTATAAATAGAGAATTGCAATGATTAAAATTTATCGCACGCATTATTTCGGAAGGTCGGAGAACTTCACGGAAATCTCACGCAACCGCAGCGTCTAGAAAATTTAGCGAAATTCAAAAATGAGGAGATAGACGTTTTATTAGCAACGGACGTCGCCGCGAGAGGCTTAGATATTAGCGGAGTGAAAACTGTGATTAATTTTGTAATGCCAGCTACTATGCAGCATTATATTCACAGGTATTCATGCGATCTCTTTTTGTTTTACGAGTATTCGCTTTATAATGCACGTGTTTTTCGATTCATTTACCAGAGTTGGAAGGACCGCTAGAGCTGGTCGCGTCGGAGTGTCTGTATCACTGGCTGGGGAACAAGAACGTTCACTAGTCAAAGAGATTATTAAAAATGCGAAAAATCCGGTAAAGAATCGAATAATACCTCCCGACATAGTCGAGAAGTATAATAAGAAGTTAGAGTCTCTCGAACCAGATGTGGAAACAATTTTAGATGAAGAAAGAAACGAGAGGGAATTAGCTAAACTGGAAAATCGAACGAATCGTGCCGAGAGAATACTAAAAGATGAGAATAGTAAAGGCATTCAAAGAACTTGGTTCCAAAGTCAGAAAGAAAGGAAGGAAGAGAAAGGTTGTTCTAATATCTTATTTCTTTCGTTTTTACTTTTATAGCTCTACTGAGTTTATAGTACATAATGGTACTATGTATTTAACGTATATTTGTAGAAAAACTACTGTTAACGGAAAAACAACCGAAGACAAATAAAGTAAAGAAAGAACATAACAGAAAACCCCCAAACGTAGTTGAAGAGAAAAAGAAAAAGCCGAAGGGACCTAAGAAGGAAACTGCTGAAGATCGAGCTAACAGGGAATTGGACAAAATTGCAGCGTATCAAGCGAGATTAGCTAAAAAGAGTAATAAACAGAAGAAGATTCGAACGGTCGTAGAGGATAATCGATCTATGATGAATGGAAGAGGTATTTTATATCCCGTATTTTTCATGTTATCAAAAATTAGGATTCAGCTTTCTTTTATTGATGGTAATAATATATTATAGGAGCGACGAAACGGCCGAGATCTTCATTTGCCGCTGATCTGACAAACACGAATCAAAAGGCTGTGAAGAAAATGCGTTACGAGTAAGTTTTAATGAAATGTTACGTGCATAATATGTCTTCATGAATTAACATTCTATTTATTCTAGCGCAAACGTTAAAAAGAATCAATCCAAAAGAAGGACTGCTAAGTTTTCCAGCGGAAAGAAGGACAACAGAGCAACTTTTAGAAAACGTTGAACTGAATTGAATGTGTGTAACTATTATCTCATTAAATTCGTACGATTTTACTTAATTCGTTTTATTATAGAACCATTACAATGCGTCATGTACGTCTCACAGATCGACAGATGAATAGCATTGGTTACTTGTATGTTTCTTTCATGATTTTTTTTTCATCAGAATATATATACTTCGTATTCTATGACCTGTTTGAAAAATTGCAGTACTATGCAACTGAATACGTGAATGTTTAATGACACTGTTATAAAATGTATGGTAATTTGAATTTGTGAATTAGTTCGAAGTATGTCGTTTATTACCGACGATTGATTCATGATTGATATAATGCTCAGTGCGAGGATAATAAACAATGATCTTCGTGCGTATTAAAAAAGAGCAAAAAGAAATGCAGGAGAAGGGAGAAGTTATTGCATTGTACTGTAATTTTGGTGAAGAGGTAATAGGTATGTGTTAATTCTATAATGTGTTTATATAAGTTCAAACATTCATCGCCATTCACAGCCTCGTACACATTCATATTCTCGTCTTGAAGTTTAATACACTTTCAATGCTTATAATTTCTAAGAACTCTAACGTTAGAAAAGTAAATTTTATAAAACCTAGGCCCGTTTAAACTTATACGATTTCTATTCAAACTTGCATCCAACTTCTGTCCTAAGTTTCTCTTTATTTAACACAACTATTCGATTTCATACATCAATTATTCATTCCCTGATTTAAAAGTTATAATTATTAACAATTCGTTCATCTTCCTTTTTCTTACATTTTATTTAGAAGATTGAAAAAGATTAAAATGCCCAAATGATAATATTTATAAAAGTATTTCATACAATTAATGTTGTGCAGGATCTTACAATATAGAAAATACGTACAACCGCAAAATAAACATAGATTTTTAGTTTCATTCGAGACGCGCGTACGAAATGAATGTTAAGTACAGAAAAGCTTTTGGATACAAATTTGAATTAAAGCGGTACGAAGATTTTGTTATTTATGATACATTTACAATAATGACGGTGACATAGAAATAATTATCACGTGGAAGGGTGATGAATTAATTATGTACTCTCAATACTTTTGTATAACAAAAATCTTTTTAACGATTAATTTCCTCTTTCTTTTTATGTTACCGCGCGCTAGTCGTCGAAGCTATATTTATATGTATACACGTATTAGACACTATTGAAATATTTATAAGGACACCTTGTCTGAAATAAATTAAAAATTAACGCGGTCGCGCGACAACCAAATTTAGAATTATCGTACAAACAAATAATTTTACGAGAAAGCATACTAACGTCCTCTCATTCGAAATGATGTGATCGTTTAATAAAATAATAATAGTAATAAGACAATAAAAATTATTATAATTATAATAATGATAATCAGATTAATAGAAACAAACAATTTTGGATCACAAAGCCAATTGACACACATCCTCTGTATTCTCCAGAACACGAGCGTTCATCGAAGTCCAACAACATTATGTTGTTCCCTTCTGCATATGTGTATGTACGTATGTATATATAGATAAATAGATGGATTAGATAGATAGATAGATAAAGAGAGATTTGGTAAATATTCGTCTCGGCATATTTTACATAATAGACGTATCATATGATTTAATCTCTTCACTGAAAGCTACAATTTAGTTCAACGATTATCGTGCGTGAATTTCATCCATTCGGAAATACAAAAATTTCGTGTGCAGTCTTATTGATCTATAAAGTATAATGCGCATGAAATAGTATGTATAAATGCTAAATGCAAAAGTGAACAATACAATAATTGTCAGACACTTCGTTATGAAAAAGGAAGAAAGACCACCAGTTGAGAAACATTTTCCAAGAGCTATATAAAAAGATATATAATATATTGAGATTACATGGTTCTCAATTTCCAAAGGTATTTGTTACTCCTCTTCTTTTTCATCCTCGATAATACCACTGGTTTTCTTGACACACAAAGTATTTAGATAAAACAAAAACCCGCTCCCTTTTCTTTCTGGAATCAAGACAAACACGTCTCCTCTTTTTAGATCATCATGTCGATTAGATCACGAGCGTAGTTCACGAAATTTTTCGAATCGTAAGCTTAGATGTTATCGATACTATTAATATTTGACATTAATCGTAATCATTATCTTAACTCCTTACTATCTAGACATACGCGAACGAGAGGTTTTATTAACTGTTGTACATAATCAAAATATTCTGTTTTCTAATTTGTAAAGTATTTTTTAGATTCTTTAATCTTATGATCATCACGTTCCTTAAGTCTTTCCCCTATTTCTAACATTTTCTTGAATATAGTCCATTCACTTATTACTTATTTATCTGATTCCCTTAATGCCCTCTTCGTTGGCGGTTCTTCAATCTGAAATCATTATGTTCTCAAGATATCTGCATTATAAATAATAAAGAGAATCTTATAGTTTACATACTTCTTCCTCTAAACCAGGTAATTGGATTCTAGTTTCCGATGCTTCTGCCGGCTGCAAATAAATTTATCACATTATACACCACTTAGAGAACATTAACTATTAAATATATCAATTAATAATCCACTTTTTCAATCATTTTATCGCAATTACTCATTAAATTTCTATCATGTTTTGAGTTTTTATTTTACTGTTGACTTCATCTAAAGAAATTTATAAATTGTCACTCGCTAATCGCACAGTATTTTGAATTTAGACAGTGGACTTTCAGAACATTAAAAAAAGTGATTAGCATTAATTGATATACACTCGTTATGTATGAAAAGATAACTAAGTATACAAATGATCTACAAATAAAGACATTATTAACTGGTTTACCTGTGCATCAATACATTCCACTTCTCGCATCTGCAGCTTGAAATCATATTCATACATATTCAATTCTATTTTAAAACTATCGTTATTAGGTAAATGGGAACATAATATCAATCTTGCGGTTGAAAATGTGACATTGCTGCTTTGTTCATATAATATCTACATTTTTAATTGCTACTACGTTTAGGTTTTATCAAACTTTTAATTTGCGCGAAAGGACGTATTTCAATCTTGATAATGAAACTGATAAATTTAGTTGACTCAATCTTAAAATAGAAATGAAACAATTTAATTCGTCGACTCTTTCACCGAAAAATGTAGAGTACAGAGACAAAACGACATGTATTCACCAACCAAATTTATCGTAACGACGAATCACGTGCTTATGTCAATCATTTCATCTTACCCTTGCGTCTGTTTCGTTCGGCCCGATACCCACTTCTTTCTGTTGTTTAGACTTAGCTCTGCGCTGCGGCCTCTCGCTGATCGAATGCGCGTTGTGAAGCGAACCTTTACCTTTGGGATTCGACATGTTTATCTGCATCTCGGCTGGTAAATAATTCTTCGGGTTGGCTATCAAATCGTCCGTCCGCTTGAAGTACATAGTAGGAATACGCGTTTCGCTTGGGAATTCCTTCATATCAAAGTTCGTCGTTTTCGTGTATATCACATTCATAGCTAAGTCGCAGACAGCCCACAATTTCTGGAAGTATGCAAAAAAGTATATTGTCCATACCATTTTCCGCATACGATACGTTAAACAGTATGCATAATAAATTAATTACATAATTCATATTATTATCCTCTGGCTTTAAAGCGTCTTTATGACTTTTCATTCGTTCTATGAGATTTTTATAAAAACCATAGCAGAAATATTCGTTCTTTGTTATAAGAGGTTCCAATATGAACCACAAACATTGTTGTATCACTTTTAGCTGGCTGACCATTAGGTGACTCGTGAATTCAGGATTATGCGCGAGGATGGGGACCGCAAATACAAGCATATAGTCAGGAAGAATGTGAGGCAGTTGACCTGCAATAATAATTTATACAATATTCAAAATTTACCTAATACTTGATACGATAATACGTATTAAAAAAAAGTAACACCATTAAACAATATTTGAATAATGTCTTACTGTTTAGTTTCTTACCCATGGCCCGTTCAATTGTACCCAACGACAATGTCTTAACATAATCCCTCCTTTTATTTATATCAGTTTGCATGTACGTTTTCAAAACGCATTTTAGTCTCTTATCCTGTTCTTTTCCGGCGAGGGCATAGTAACCCATAAAGTCTAGCGGCAAACACTTATTTGGAATTCCTCTTCCAAGTCCTTTATGTAATTTACTACCGAAAGCTTCCCTCACTTGCGGGACTTCATCCTAGCACGTGAATTATTTTATTTTAAATGGTTTACATTTTAATCAGCTTTAAATTTATGCTCGCCGGGAAACGTACCACCATAAGTTGAGACAAATTGTAAAATTGTTCTGCTGTAAACTGATCACCCACTCCTTTCTGTTCACAGATTTTGAGCATCGAACAGCCTGCTTGTAATCGTAGCCAGCTCATTTCTGCTTTGCTTAAACGACCCTGCTGCAGAAGATCCCCTTTGTTCACCACGAACGCATTCAGCATCCTGAACGTTTTCTGTGCAGAAAGCACGTCAGTCTTCAGTCCTAGTAACCAGCGTGCCATGCACTTCAGACCTTCTAATCTACAACGTGTTTCCTGAGGTAATTGATCCTCTCTGCACCAATCACCTTCGATAGGTTCAGCTGCTTGTTCGCTGCTTTCTTTTACCAGCAACTCCTTGACTATCTGTAAATTCGTAAGAACGGAGACGACTCAAAATTCTGTACTATACATTAAATAAAACTGATTTCGAAGTAAATTTAATTACCTTTCTAGACACCATATTCTTTATTTGTACTTGATACTTTTCTGGTAAATTATAAGCTATGTGACCTAACGTGACTATAGATGTTCGATAATAGTTCGAGGTCGGTGTAAGATTGTTTTTAATTCTTTCAATGATCTCGGGGAAGATTGTATCATGAATATTGGTCATATTAACAAACAGACACCTGACGGCTTGTTTCGCCTGTTTCGACGTTCCCGTCACTGCGAATTTCTTGCATATCGGGACCATCAGATCCATAATATCTGGCGCGACGTCGCACAAAGGTTTGTACTTTCCTAAAAATGTGAAGATCGAGAGGACCAATGGCGCTACCATCTCGTCCTCTAACTCCAGGAGATGTACAAGTTGCGTTAGAATGTCATTGTGAAGAAAATGTGGACCGAACACAAACGAGAGCATCTGAAAAATAAGAATGGACATATGTTTAGTATGATTACTAATAAATGAAGTGATCGGTTTTATAAAATGATGGGAGCATACCACCAGTAACCTCAGACCCTTCTCGCCTGCGTTATTTGGATTGAGGCCGACTTCTTCTATTACATTACCGCCTTTCAAACAGTCCAGTACATATCCAATTAAGACCTGTTGAAACGTAACAATATGAACACAATTACAAAATACAAGACGAATTGTATATATTTACCCTAATTGCTTCTTCGTCGATTATTACGGAGCTAACTCTCTCTAGCAACATTTTTATCGTGTTGTAATACAAATTGGTCATAACAGGTTGACCCAACTTTTTTAGAACCATTGTTATCGTGTCTGCACACTCCTTGCACGATACGTTCGGCTGAATTATCGTTTCCATTCCTTGTAACAGTGTCGAATCTTTTCGCATGTGAGCACTGAATTTCTGCAAAAATTCTTGCACCTTCATAGGGTCTGGTAGAAAGCGAGATATCTGTTGAATTTTAGCTACGAGTTCCACCATGGCATCAGGCTTCTTTACAATCTCTAACCATTCGACTACTGCTCTTCGCACACTGTGATGTAACGTATCATATAAAAATATTTTCATATATTAAGTAAAGAGAAAACAATTAAGAATTGTCACGAAGCTGTACGTACGCGAGTTGATGTTTCTGTAGCTCTACAAATGCCTTAGACGCGTGATCGTCAATTGTACCTAATAAATGATACAATTTCTTCATTCTTTCACCGGCTGGGAGTTGGTAAGGTACTAAGCAAGTGTTCAATAATCTTTCCACTAACAATCTATCCTCCATGCCTGCCATATAATAACCATGTAATATTTTATCTTTTATCCAAGTAACAGCCTTTTTTGTTGCCTGTGGTACGTCCGCATCGTTCAAATGCTTTTTATATATCATAGCTAATCCCGTCATCGCTTCTTTTCTGATTTTAAACTGCAAGTACAAACGATCGTTAAACCGCCTTAATTCTTAAACAAATAATGCAGTATCTGGATGAAAAATCAAACGTACCTTTTTGTCTAAGGTTCTTTCTTTAACAAATTCTAACAAATCCTCGCTGTCCGACACTACTTCGAAATCCTTTCGAGCAGTGGCCACTATGGCCATAACAACTTCATATCTGACACTCTCGTCTGCATCGTGTTGTCTCAACTTCAGAGTATCAGTAATATCTTTTCTCAGCTCCGGGTGGTTCAATAAAAAATGCATTGAGTACTGCACACACTTGATGCGTATCGATACACTGATGTCGTTAAACCTTCCGAGGAACGCGCGCCATAGTTGCATATGTTGAACAGCCAGCTGTGATCCCTTTTCGGAGAACATTCTTGCCAGCAAGGCTACGGTACCCAATCTTTCACTCTCCGAGGAAGATTTCAATTTACATTCTAACTGTGGGAGGACGGACAACAAGACGCTTGGACATATGTGATTCAGTTCGTAAATCAAATCGTACACCTTCTTGCAGATTTGTAAACTTTTCTCCTCTTTACCCAAAATCAACACATGATTAAAAAACTAGAAATTTTAAAAACACGTCGTCGTTTTTAATTTGCTTATAGAATGACATAAAAATGTAAGTGTGTAAACTAAATCTCAACAGCATCTTCAATATTCAGAACTTAGTAAAAACATGTTCCAAGTACTATTAACAAGATACGAGCAATTCTCGCATAGTTGTAAGTTCTTCAATGAAACTGTTGTAAATCGTGAAGACAGTGTTGGGATTTAGTTTACGTATTAGAGTTCTACTTACTGCTTGAATGTAAGGTTCTAATGTATCGCTACACTTAATTACTAATTCCTTCGCAAGTAAATACGCGTTCTTCTTTTGGGTTTTATTTGGTTCTACGATATTCATAAGTATAATGTCCAAAAGCTCGTTACTGACGATATCCGATTCTGTAATGAGGGGACACAACACGTCCAACATGAAACTTTTCACTTTCCCCGAATGTTCATCACTAAAATTGTAATTGCAAAATGATTTATTGTTTGCTATTCATCGAAATATTCCACTCCTCAACCGTGTTGTACTCACTTTACTATCCTAAACATAAGGGAAAAGAGTGCACAAAATATTTCTTGGCAGTCTTCTAGTTCGAAACACATGTTAAATGATTTCACGTATGCCAGATTTTCCAAAAGATAAAAATATCTTTTAAAAGCAGGATCTTTGGGATCTTTCAAACCGGCCAATTGTTTAATCAGAAATAAAAATATCGTTTTCACCTGTAACAGATCAAAGATTCAATTTTGCTATTACGTCGAAATTAAAAAGATAGAAGATGAACATTTGCGAATTATTGAGGAGACATCTAACTGTGTAACATGTACCTGCTCCGCATCTTTATATGGAGCTTCTGGTGCGTAAACTCTTAACACATCAGCGATGCAACAAGCTATCAGGAGCTGTACATCTTTACTTTGATGCATTAAAAAATGTTCTTCCGCCAAATGTAACGCGAGCGGTATATATTGTTGATACATTCCCTCGTCTTGGCCCATTGCTTGTAACGTGTGAGCTAATGTCTGTTCAATAAATATATTAATATCAATTATCTTCACTTTATATGTATTTTCTTTCTTATCTAAAAAGACATTATACTTGTACATAGGAAAAGTAGATCTCGTTAGAAAATATACCTTTAGTCTTCTAATGAGTTCATCTGGACCTAGATCTTCGGTAACAGATCTGCACCCTTGCGGGTAAACTATTTCCGACATGTTTGCTAAATGACTCAACCAAATATGAGAAAATCTGAATCCTTAAAATAATCTAAAACACCGTCCAAATTCTGTAACAGTCACATAGTTTCGTCAGTTATCGTTCTATACCTTTTACTCATTTATTCTTTAACATCTCAATTATCGAACCTAAGTTTTACTATATAACAAATTTAATAACGTAACAAATAGTTAGAACGATGATATACAAGATGTAGTACATTGAAAAAAAAACAAAATAAACATTGAAACAAATGCATTGGAGATAAAGTATGAATTGCTATATCATTGTTGAACAAATATCTATTACAACTAAACATAATTCATATATATAACTGCAATGGCAAATAAATAATGGATAAATGTACTGTGTTCTATGATAAATACAAGAGATTTAACAGAAATTCGACATAAATTAAGAGATGAAAAAACAGGATTAGATTTTAATTTATATTTGTCTATATAAAAATGGGATACCAGCATTTTAAAAATAATTGTACTAAAACATCCGGCAGGTTATGTCTAGGAATCGTGTACAAATACATGAAAACGATGTAAACAGTATTATTATTTAACCCATTTAAGGAGGTGTGCATATTTTAAGATGCATCATTAAAGGAACGATATCGAATAACTACGTCTACCGGAAGATATATTACCTCAAGATATGCATAGGCACCGCAAGGCCTGTGACACTCAAAATATCAATAAAGCAAATATATGTGACGGTGGGATGCACGACACAATCTTAGTTTCTCGAGGTTCTCACACACTTTCGCGTTTTAATTATTACTAAGTGCGAGTGTACCGCCTGCGACGTAACTTTCGGAATTTTACGTAAATATTTCGCATGGTAAAATGATCAAAATATCGGCGAGAAACTGGCAAAATCGTTTTCGTAAACGGTTAAGCGTGTCAAAGGACGCGACAGCGCAACGCGATCGCCTGAAGTTACCCGCGTTTCATGAGGTTTACGCATACTTCACACCGAAATATATAGTTAAACAACATATTTATTAAGGTGAAAGAACCCGCGGCGGAGAAGTAACGGTAATTCTATTGGATGGATAGGATACTCGTTCAGAAAAACGTAATTAATTAGCATTTAAATAAAATTACAGACCTACGCCTGTGTCACATGTCCAGTTTGTATGAAAACTTTGAATACCTCCCAATGATGCGAAGTTTTTTCATAATTATAGTTATATTAAATAATTTCTATCAATCATATCCAACATCCTTAATTAATTAATTGAATAGCGTAAGTGGATATATATATTTACGTCGACGTTTGCCCAAATCACATAGTGTATGTGAATTACACATTTGCATTTAAACCGGAAATCCGGAGGTGATCCTCCTCTTCTGTTTAGCACACGCGGCGTGTGCAGATACTGGTTCAGCGCTGATTAGTTTTGTTTAAAAAGAAATTAATCATCTCGACCAGGAAGACAATTAAACAATGGTGTGTGATCATTTATATCATTTTACAGTTTAGATAAGATTTGTGTAAAATTTTATGGCCGAATTTAGCATTATCGTATAATAATTTGGAGTGTTTGGGTTATGTATTCACTTGACCACGCGGCTCGTAGTTTATGTAGTACTTCATCTCTTCGATTGTTTACATAAACGATCATAATAAATTCTTGACGTTTATTGGTTTTTTAATTTAATGTACGAAACGATATTTCAGGCGAGCACGAAAGTTGACAATCCTGAGAAACCAGGACAAGAAGTGACTCCTATTCACAGAATCAGGATCACATTAACTTCACGCAACGTACGCTCCCTTGAGAAAGGTAATCTACTTTTTATATCTTCCTTTTTATTATTCTCATTCAAATGTTTTTATCGTACAAATATATCTTTTTAGTTTGCTCTGAATTAATCAATGGAGCAAACAAACAAAAACTGAAAGTTAAGGGGCCAGTTCGTATGCCTACCAAGATACTAAGAATAACTACGCGTAAAACACCTTGCGGTGAAGGTTCAAAGACATGGGACCGTTTCCAGATGCGCATTCATAAAAGAGTTATCGATTTGTATTCACCATCAGAAATTGTGAAACAGATAACAAGCATTTCCATTGAACCTGGTGTTGAAGTGGAAGTTACAATTGCAAACGAATAAGCATTTCGAAACTGTATAAAGTTGTAATAAAAACATAAAATTCAAACCGTTTGTCTACATTCTTAATATGTATCCTTCATAAGATACAACTAATAGTATTTGAAATCCATTCCATATCTTATAGTTTATTATCGGTCTTATGCATTCACGTGCAAAATTAAGAGAGTACTGAATTTTATAAGGTAGCATGATAGAGATAGCACTGATAAATCGTGTTGTCAAAAAGAAGCAGTTTTATTTCAACCGAAGGACGAACATTTCATACATTACAATCTAATATAATTGCACACATCTTGTTAAAATTTTTCTTACATGGAACCACATGTAAAGAACTTCGATGCGACTTTTTCTCTTTATGTTTAAGGCTTTAATAAATAATAGTGCGTTACAAGTTTTGTTCTCGTAACGCCGTAATTCTACGCACGTTGAAATACGAGAATGAGTAGGGAAAACCTGTATAAAATCGTTCTAAAGTTCTGAGATTCATTAGTTTGTTACTTTATATAAAACAATTCGTGTAATTAAAATTGTATTTGTTAAACAGCTTCGTAATTCTAATAAAATAATAAAATTAAGAAATACGTAAATCACAATGTCGACATTTACACTATGAGATATCGAATTGTTACTTTAACTTGGCTTTAACGATTTTTACAGGCTTTCCCTATTCCTGATTATTATTCATCGGTGGCTATGCAACTATGAATTGATAACAACTTTTTTCATAAGTAAACGACGTTTGTAAAGATCGTAAATATATTCATAAAAAATCTCGTCAATCATATTAAAATATGTACGTATACATAGTTTCATTTAGCGTGCTATTTTAAAGTAAAAAAAAAAGAAGAGTGCATTTACGAGGGAAAATAACATTATTCGTACCGTTTTCTCTTCTGCTTCAAGCTCCCGATCAGAACTTTAATTCGTTCTGCAATTATCATAATTACAATTCCATGCACAATATCGTTTCATCTAATTTTATCTAAAGTTTGTTTGTCTTTGGTCAACAATTATATATAATCAAAGCTGCGTATTTATACATACAATAAATAATGTCTTAAACTAAAAGAATACGATACTATACGGAATATCAATTCTTTTTTTCTTTTTTCTTTTTTCCAACGAGACGGTGTCGCGTTTATCTACGTCGATGATATCAAAGGACGAAACGAACGTTTGGAATAAACCTAATTTAAATTAACTCCGTAATGATTTCTCTTATATAGTAAATTTGATCATAATCTTAACAATTAACGCTTAACTGCTATAATTCTCAATATAACGTTTATATAATATCATTGACAATGATTTCTTTGGATCAATAGATCGTGTTATAATATATACAGATGTCCTCTTTAAGATTTCGCTCGCAATCACCTCATCGTATGATGTTAAAAAAATGACGATAATAAATGATCGTTAATAAAAGTACACATATAATTCCATATAGAAACAAAAGGTCGATTTGTAATTACAAGATACTCCCCCACAAAGGGTGTGTTTTAACTCGAAAGGTTTTCTGAAACGGTTTATAGTTCAGGAGATCACTGCGTGCGAAAACGGGACATTCTGTATAATTAAATATATTATTATCATCTTGGAAGACATTATTGGAAGACTTCTTTTTATAGGTATTATATTTTATCTCATTTAAATAACACGTTTCTGCAGCTGCGAGACGTTCTTGCTCTGTCTTTACTCTTAGGAAACCAGATCTAAGATGCTTGGAATAATTATAGATGATTTGAAATGAACAGAACTTCTTGTCTTACTTGATGTCGATATCACTTAAGAATTGATAAGGACTAGTTCTGATGAAATTCCTTTCAATCGTGGCTCAAACTCTGTTACATTTCGAGTATGCATCAAGAAGTAGAGACCTCATTGCAATAGAGAGTTGAGAGCATCCCGCAGCTTTCGCCGGACTAGTTCTTTAGCTACAATCATATTGCTCAAACTAACGTATGATCTATTTCGGTCTGCATCGGCCTTGGAAGACGTTGGATCACGTAACTAATTGTACTTGTTAAGTACATAACTGGTCACATCGTTTCCTTATACGACGATGAGACGTCAGAGTAGGCTAACATTGTTGTTATAAATATACATATGTAGGTATGCACATAGATAATTATGCGAGTTTCGATGGATTTTCAGTTGTGAGAAAATAAAACATTCTCATTTTTAAAGAAAACCTTCTATAATTCTCGTGATCATTATTAAAGCGAAGCATCTGTAATTATTAGACTGCAGATTTTTACATATATACTTAAAAGAATGGAATATAAATACTCTGTAAGTATGATATGTACATAGATATTCGGTGTGTTTCCTTGATCTTGCATTAGTTTTGAACATTATGTACATTATGCATCACCTCGTACGTTTCAATTTTCACTAACTGCATAAAAACTCGCAGTCCAATGCTTACTATATTTACAATTGATTAAGTACTTTTAATATAATAGCAGAATCTAATTGTTGCATATTAAGATCCATCGAAACTTGTGCATTCAATCTGTAATATGAGTATCTCACACCAGTGCCAAACAACTTCTTGACCGTGAAAACCTTCGGATATTCACATCCTCCCACGACCAAGAACTTATTCCAGCAACCCCGGCGCGTAGTAAGATTTAGTAATCATAAAACATATCTATACGAGGTGTTCCATGTGATATTACATCTTTAAAAAAGTAAAGATTTCCTTCTAATCTTCCCTATATAACAGATTTAAAATAAATTCATGAATTAATTGAGTTTAAATAGAACACCTCGTACCCCTGTAAATGATTTTAGTAACAGAACGATACGTTCAATAGCTTGAATGCGGTGCACCTACATACGTATTGTTTGCGCGTAGATAGAAATTACATGATCCGCAATGTTAATTATAAAATCCTTTGCGGAACGGTGAGTTTAGTCAACTTGTACGTCATTGTCATTCACCGTGCGTGTTCGTTTTTGTAAATTGTATCGTGGAAGACATCGATTACTTATAGCTAACAAGATATTGTCATCTTTGCTGCCGCTAAATATATAATCTAAAACGTTGCTAGAAAGCCCCCTGAAATGTTCACGAAGTTTATGTCAAGGGTGAGGAAGACGTAGGACCACATGTTGAAAGCCGAAATACACGCGAATATATTCTCTCTCTTTTTCACTTTCACTCATTCACTCACTTTGTTCTCTCTTTCTCTCTCTCTTTCTACGATTTTGTCATTTTTTAAATAGATCATTTTCTAGATATGTGTGAGTTCTGGTTGAATATAAATATACAATCTCAAAATGTCTCGAACCATTTGTATATAATATATATACGTTTTCGATCAAACGAATAATCTGTGTAATTATATCCGTGCATGTATGCATTCGACTGAGCGAAAGGGTGCATTTCTCTTTATAGCGAAATCTCTCTAAGCGACGACACGCAGTCAGAATTGATGCCTTTTCATTTGAAACCAGCAAAAATACAGTTAGATCTTTTAGATCGCGTCTACTGGATCAAATAGTAGAATACATAATGTTTCTAAGTTAGATCTTTCTTTGTTTCCTTTGAATTCGAAAGTCTCGATCTAGATCAGGTTCGCGTTCTCAAGGGAATGCATCAGCAGTGAATTGTACTAGAACGAGTTTTGTACAGTCTATATCCGTTTGGATAGAGATGCATGAAGAACAAATACATGACTCGCTGTTCCGAAGACCGAACGCGAAAATAAATGAAATGATAAATTAGCGTAAGCTACAAATCGATGATGACTTCTCCGAGTAATGTCGTATCTACACGCATTATTGTGTACTCGTATTCGAAGAATACTCTGATCATTCAAAACGGTAGACCGATTTCAAAGGCGTTGATCAGAGCGGAGCCGGAGTCGTAGACTCCCATCACGCCGAAGAGTACTCCGAGGAAGATGACAAAACAATCGTACGCGACCTCGCTCCATTCCATGGAGTTTCGTTTCAATTTCAAGTGAAAGTAACATGGCCATATGAACGATAACATCGTTCCAGTGAAGGAACCGATGAATCCCATAAGGATACTAAAATGAGGGATAAAGACCGCCATGAGAATGGTGAAGACGATCACGCCGACCCGCCACGCGAGTCCCCAAACTTTCAACTCCCGGTCGACCGTCCATATCGTCGGAAACAGAGTTTTCGGTCTGCCCCTGAAGAACGCTCTTTCGAGCAGCTCGCAAGCCGCGTAATACGGCAGTGGATATGAGAGCACGGCTTTCACGACTAAGCAAAAATTCACCAGCCCCTTGAACCCGCTCGAGTGCAAATTATTTGTGATCACCTGTTGCGTGTCGTTCTGGAACGTGAGGAAACAGATCCAGCCGAAAAGCGATTTGAACGCGGCGGCTGCGATGTGGCTCCAGTTCAGCATCCAGTCGAATTTGGATCGATCGATCAGGTTGCCCTCCAATGTGGGTAAGAATATCTGCGACGTGTAGCTGAACACGATCACCCCGAGGGAGATCGGGAAGTTCTCGAAGTCGATCGTCCACTTCACTTTGGACCAGCCCCAGTCGCCGATCTCCAAGAGACAGTAACCGACGATGATGGCGTTTATGAACAAATGCGACATCGTGCACCAGAAGCTGAGCAGCGAGACGTGCTGCAGGGACTTAAGAAAACCAAGAGGCAGTAAGAATATACCGATCAGCATCATCCAGCTTCTGGTGTCTATCGCGCCCTCCGGGAACGTGCCTATCATCAGGTCACCACAGACGACCACGTACAGTATACAAGTCATCAGCAGCTCGATGATCTGGGCGATGTTCACCACTCTGGCTCCCCAGGTCGGCCCGAAGCATTCCTTAGCGATGGCCACGTACGAGTCCCGTACGCGTACACGTTGCCCGGTCGTAGTGTCCAGTTCGTACAGACACTCGACGAGTATTTTCCCGGTGTAACAGCAAATATGCGCTATACCGACCATGGCAGCGATCGCCCAGTAACCGCCCCGTAACACGGCGAACGGCAACGATACGATGAACATACCCTATAAAGTAAATCAACTACGATACTCCCTCGATACGAGTATTAACAGATTTTATTTTAAGCGTACATACATTTCCTTGGAAACATAAGTAAGAATTGTTAGAAAAGTAATAAGAAAAATCACGGATGTCTATCATGCGTACGATTTAGGAGAATAAATTAAAAGGGAGTACCTGAATAGCGTTCGTAACGTTCCACGCAGCTTGCCATTCGTTAATTTTCACTCCGGATCCAAATTCACCACCACCTTCGTCGTATTCGCTAAATTCGCCGCTGCTGACGCTTCCCGTTCTAACTTTGTCCCTGCGGAAACATAAAATCCATTAAGCCGTCTATAAACTTGTATCATACGTATAATCCATATCATTATGAATGAATAAGCGTTGCATTGTTATGCACCCCGTTTATAAGTCTTGCGACGCTTGCAAGTGTTTATTGTACATCCAAAAATTTTATGTGCATATTTATAGTTCGTTTACCCGTTTCTTTGATAGCTAAACGAGTCCTCCGCGACGGCTACGTTGTTCTGGTCCCGATACGCTTGATCTCCATTCATGGTCATCATTTCCGTGTTATCGCGGCCCTCATCGAACGATTTGAACTGGCCCTGGCTACTCTGGCTCGCAGCTCGCTGCGCGTTCGGACCAGGGCCACGAATAAGCTCCATGCAGGGGCTGTTCTCTGGCCATTTAGCCTTTAACGTTTCCCAAGCAACGTTAAATGTCGCACCCAACGATGGAATTCGTGAGTAGAACCCGCGAAAGTCGGCCATCGTGTTTAATTCGTTGCTTCTATAAACAAACAAATTATGAATCTAATTTATTCCTATTATTTGACGGGGAGATGAAAATGTATGGTACGATGTGAAACATCAAATTCACAAAGAACTTTATTTCATCGTGTATGCATTTTCATGTATCTTTTACCTTTTTCGATTGTCGAGAGAGTTAAACTTTAAAATAACGGAATGAATTCATAATGTTTAGTAGGCAAGACAGGCTGAAATCTCGTTCGATGAGATTAATCTTATATTTCTTAAGGTATTTGAAATGAAACAAAGAGCAGATGTGAAACGCGAAAGTACTTATTGACTGTTCTGAATAAGGAACAGTGTCCGATATAATTCGACATTTCTTGTAATCTGTTATTCGTGTTATTGAAAATGACGTCATACTACATAGAAAACTGTAAGAAACAAGTAAACGAAAGAGGGATACCAAGTAGTTTGCAAATCGGATTATTTAAAATAATTGAGAATTACTTATTCGGTTGATCCGAATGATAAAATTGAAAATCCTAACGAGAACGAATTTTACAATAACTGTTATTCGAAAAACGTTATTTCTACATTTTCTCTAAGGCAATAAAAATAGTAAAAATGAAGTAACACAGTGACAGATGTGACACAGTGCGTAAAGGTCATTTTAATTGCTCGAGTGCGAGAAGAATGGTCGGATATACTATATGCTTGACACAATTCCATACAAATGGAAGCTTTGATAGAGAACAGGAATTCCTACCCTTGTAACCGAAGGCTTAACAACTTCGATGTTTAATCCCTTAACGATCTTTCAACACATTTACTCTATTCAATTGCTTTAAACTTATCCGAGAACAGTGCACGTACGGTACAACCCGTACGACTTCGTCCTTGATCTCTGGTACTATCGAGTTTCGAGTGAAGAGTCGAATCCTTCAGTGATTACTTACCGAAACGACGAACGAAATTCGGTCAGGAATTATCAATGAAACTTCAGCTGACGCAGTGGACGTAGCTGTCTTCGGTGCTAGGAGCGCCGTATCGGTTTTTCTCCAGTTTCGTTGGCCAGACGGTGAGACAGGTTTCAACTGAAAGAGGATCCAGCGTAACGGCGGGCTGTGCTCCCGCGGAACGGAAATGTGTTTTCGAAAAATAAAGGGTCGAGATCGTCTAGCTACGTGGACTACGATACCGCATGGTCGTCTACGGTCTACCGCGATCCTCGAGTCCCTAATCGCGATATAGACTACGGCTACGGGGTCGGTGTGACACGGGGTTGGGAGATCAGATCAGCGGAATATGGCCAGCATCCCCCGAACGCGCAAGCCTCGATCGATGTGGTCCACGAGACATTCTTTCAACGCGTCAGTACTGTATTTCAGAAGTCACGTCTCCCCAGATAAACTGGATTAGGGCATTGAAGTATCAAGGAATAAGGAATTTTATTTTGAACAAAATTGAATCTGCAGGAAACATAAACCATGTATATAATGTTTAGAAATGAATAAGATATCAATAGGTGACAAAGAGCGTCAGAACATCAATAATTGAAGAAACGAAATAGGTATCCTGCATTAGAACTGTGTATTCGTAAAAGATATTAACATTGAGCCATGCGTATATATAATCAATTTGGAAATTATTTAATCGCATTTGGATACCGAACACATAAGTTTCGAGAGCTTTTATGTAAATAAATTAAGTTTTGAAAAGATTTTTAATTAAGTAAAGATCATAATCGTAAATAGTTTATTTTGAACAGAACTTAATCGCGTTATAACTATATCGTAATAGGAAATTCTTTTACCATTTATTTTAATACAATATTAACAATGTCACAATGAGCCAATGTATCATTTAATAAATAAACCAACGTGTTTATTATTTATCTTAGGTTTGTTACTTTTCACAGTGATAATTAATAATTGGTATAACTTTACAATTGTTTGTGTCCCTGCGTTTTTCTTCTTCATTAATTGAAATTGTAGTCGCACCCAACCAGTCCATTACACGCATACAATATGAATACTTCGTTACAACATATATTGCATAAAAAACAAGAATGCTGACGATTGGACTGAATGATTCTAGTAATGATATAAGGCCGTGAGTAAGGAAAACGTTTCTAGCTTTTACTACGAGAATGTACAGATCGATGAATTTATAGGATAATCATAGTGGCAGGGGCTAATAGTAGAAGTTCCAGATTTTCTATTAGCTACAGTACGAAGCTTGAATGCATCACTATTGTTCAGCAAAACTGTAGATCCCGTTCAATATCGTATTTCAATCATCATGAAACAACAATTTTTGCTAAATTAAATCAATCTTTTTCAGTCTTTCACTCATACGCGTATATTTAATATACATTGTATCATTTTTTTAAATGAATGCGTATAAACCAGAAAATATATATAATTTTAAACGATCTTTTAACATCTTGTGTATATGCAGGAATGACACGCAGATATTACATAGTAAATGTACAAAGAGAGAAAGGTATTAAATTTGTCACCGAAGTCGGAGGACTGACGATTTGTCGCCGGCCTGGGTTAACACCATAGCTAAATATTCGTCTTTAATTAATGCGCACAGTCGCGATTACCGAATTTTGTACTAATTGCCCGCTAACTATATGCATAATTACCCACGGATTTACATCGAAATTGCGCATACCGACGAACAAAAAGGTAAGAACGTACAAGCGAATGACACGAAGACGCTTTTTAAAATTTTTCGGTGACGTTCACGTTGTATTTGTACAATTAGGACTGTGCAAGTTCCCTTTTCATCGGAGAAGATACTTTTCGTTTTAAAAATCTAACAATAAAATGTAACACAGCTAAGACACGACAGCTAAAAATGGAATCTTCCTTCGTACAAGTAGATCAATCGTATCTTAATGTCCATGGGGAAGTGTAATTTGTATACTTAGCAATAGTATTGAAGAAATTTCATTTAAATTTCGCCGCCGTCCCTTTGCGTTTGATGCGAGTCACTATCCGAAGTTAAACTTTCGATAGCGCTGTCCGGCTGAGAAATTGTCTCCGAACTCCTGGCCATACACAGTTTGTTGGTTTTTACTTCCGTGCGGCTTGATTTAAAGCTTTGATCTAAATTTGAATTCGAAGTGGAATGTAGCGATACGTTTGACTGAGCAGAGACAGGTCTTTGACACGAATGTAACATTAGTTCTGGTCCTCCACCGTAAGTAGTTAAAAAGAACTGCCACAACTCTTCTGGTATTTGCCCGTAATCTGAGCCTGCACAATTAAACCAATATTAATTACAAATATATACTATATATAAATATATTACAATTTTAAACGTTTTACAACTTACCAACTTTAAGGATGTTCTGACCGTTTTTATTTATTATAATAGAATTGTTGTCAATCGGTCCAGGTGGCTGTGTCTCTTTGCCCCTTACGAAACTTTGCCACTGTCGCAGCCAAGCCATGGCCAATCCGTAAATAGCTGTAGGATTGTCAGTATTGTGGTTCAATTGTTGAAACACTTCCATTTCGTACTGCCTCCTTTTCTGTAGCGATTCATATTTCTCCTCGCAATTTGGGCATTCGTATAAATGCGTACACGCCGGACCTCCTCCGAATCTGAAATGATAAATTTCAGTTTTTTTTTAAAGTCTCTCATTGCCGATGTGAAGAGATGTAAAAATAATCGAGGACGACGCACTTACGTGTTATATAAATATTCCCAAACTGCTTGCGGAATAGGCATACTAAGTTTATCTACAAATTGTGCTCTAACAGGATTGACACCACCGTGTGGACAAAGAAAATCGGAATTGTCTATGGGCCCGGGCTCGGAGAACGTGTTGAAACGATTTATCCATTGTCGGGACACGAAAAAGTTCAGACCGGACACCTCCTTCGATGAGATCTCCATTAATTCCATCGTTTTATCACGCAGCTGCAGCATCTCCGGCGACCACTTTTTATAAAATAACACATAAGCCTCGCAATGTTTTACAGTTTCCGGTGAGACTTCCGTAACACATTGATCGTCAAACTCGAACCATTTATTAACAATAGGATTTAATGCGTAACAGGTATAATGGCCTCCGCCTGCTGTTCCGTGATGGCAAATAACTGATATCAAGTCATACATAGTTACTTTGGATACACACTCTTTATGCAAATACGGTCGCATATCTAATCCCTCTAAGGGAAACGAAACGTAACTGGCTATCTTCGAACTGAACATCAATTCGTGGCGAAACCTTTTTAAATGGACACACAGTATTTCGGGTAGTTCTAAAACCTTCGAGAATTTAATCCCGTTCCGCAGTTTATTACACTTCTCACAACTGTACATATTGTCCCCTTTAAGTTCGTCCGCGCTAAAAAACGCCGAGAGGCAGTCGTGCAAGCTGACGACCGGTCCCCAAAACCAAGAACGCATCCACTGCAGGAACCATGATAACCAACCGGATTGGTTAGTCACGTAGACGACGTCTGAACATGGTCCTGCCTTTTGCGGGGTCAGAGGCCCCTGATGCAACATATCGATGTGATCTCTACTCGGAATGGGCAATGACAGATCTTGAAACGTTTCCACCCTCGTTGAAATCCTATCACAAGTAAGACATTGTACGCTACTTAAAAGTTTACCGTCGAATATATCACTGATGATGCTTCGCGTTTTCATTTGTTTCTTAGTCCTGCATTTTACAGGCGAATTCTGCGTCGATCTTTGCGGTTGAGAAAACGGTTGATCCACGCTCGATTTTTTTATACTTCTATTCGTGAACTTACTCCTCAGCTTCTCTGACTGAGACACGCGAGAGTATCTTCTTTTCGTACCACGTTCGCCCTCGTCGCTAAGAGAACTCTGCTCGCTAACTCCGGAATCACAGGTTTCGTATTCGGCATCCGACTGGCTAGAACCAGTCCCATCGATCTCGGTCTCTTCTTCGTCCGAGGACTGTTCGCCTAATCCCTTTAATCTTAACGCGATATCGCGATCATCTTCAATATGTTCCTTCAATTCTTCATGCAACTGATCCATAAAACATCTTAGAAATTCTTGAGTGTCATGTTGGTGATATCCTCTGAACATTGGGTGAACAGCTCGAATTCCAGACAAAATTCCATGTGGTACAACATATCCTCTTGTTTTCCTGTTCCACATGTCTCGAATAAGGTTTAAATAGCTTAAGCTTAAACCAGGTTTTCTATCTTTGGACATATAGCTAACCATATGACCACAATCCAGAAAGAATTGTGTCAGAGGTGGTACATTTGATAAAGCTTGAAGCGCAGCATTCATGTAGCATGTGTTACCAATATTTTGGAGACCGACAAGACCTCTTAACTTCCCAGAAAAATCTTTACTCTCATCTGAATCTGTACTATCCGGTGAATCACCAGATTTTTCATTAAACGATCCATCTTTCTCGTAATTTACTCGATTTATCAGGTCGCCATAGAACCTGTTATTTATGAAACGAAAAATTATTTTTTTTTCACAGTTCACACAAATACATTCTTATGATTACAAGGAAATGTATGTGTAATTAAAATAAACTGTGCTAATACTTACTTATCCAATATGAGTCTATTAAGATCATCTGTTTTGCAATCTATGTTTATGGGTGCATCACCAGCAAACTTGTCTTTTTGTGCTTTTGCATCCACTTGATTAGGCGACCGAGGTGCTTTCCGTATCCCCCTGATCGTTATGACTTCCTTCTTACACGAGTAACACCATATACGATTCGTGGAAAGATTCATGTGGGCACAATGATTAGGAAATTTTTGGTTGTGTACAGTGCTATGGTCCAAGTGGGTTTCTGGACAGCCGACCCATCGACAATCCGGGAACAAGCATAGCCACAAATTAGGCCCGTCTGTATCGCATTCGCTACATTTCTTGAATCTTTCCTTTTGAGACACAACGATCTCAACGACCGCGAGATCACCACGATTGGCAATGTGAGGACAATTCCTCGAGACCAACGGCATCCTGTCACTTCGTCCTTTCATTTATTCTCGTTAATTGTAAAACGCGAAATCGCGTGTACACTTTCGTTCCTTACATCCGTACAAAATTTGGCTCACACGCGACTCGATTAACGTTACAATCATTTTTTAACCTGATTGGGACATGTCGCTTTTCGCGATCGAACATATTATCCACGAAAACGATTGTCATGGGAGATAGATGCGTCGAGAATATATTAGCATTCGTTGATATGAACGGACAGCCAATGTAAGAAACGGATCGTACGTTGGTGTGCATGATCGCGGCCGACACCGATTTTTATTTTGTTAACAAGATCATTAACGATTTTTAGAAAAAATCATTTGTAAAATACGTGTACTTGAATCGTGACGATTTATGAAGTACACGTTCTTACATGAAACAATGTAACAGTTCAATATTTTCTTAACGATAGTAGATCCCACGATACTGGATCAAACATCACGTTGATAATCTTGAATGGCTGTGGTAGTGTTTCTCTTGGTTGAAAATCAAGTGAGGAAGTGCACATGGACAGATTTTGCACTTTGACAGATTTATACGTGCTACGTGTATTTTGATAGTATAAGGAAACGGTTTTTTAGTTCTTGTGAAAATATATTCATATTCTCAGGTAATTATAAAGTGTGTATTACAGTATTGTTCGAGTTATTCTTAAAATAAACTTAAACGATAACCTATGGCTTTCTAGCCTCTCGTTTTCTATATTACCAATTGAAAAACATAATAGTCTTAGACGTGAACAGAGAAATTCAAAATGTATTATTAATCAACTACATATGAAAACTAACATACATCAATTCTATTTCTCAGCGATAAAAATGGTGTTGTCGTGTCGATTTTACAAGCAGAAATATCCAGAGGTAGAAGATGTAGTAATGGTAAATGTACGGAGTATAGCTGAAATGGGAGCTTATGTACATTTATTGGAATATAATAATATCGAGGGTATGATCCTCCTCTCTGAATTGTCTAGAAGACGTATCAGATCTATCAATAAGCTTATTAGAGTAGGAAAAACTGAACCAGTTGTTGTAATCAGGGTCGACAAAGAGAAAGGTACACAAATGTTTTATATAAATGAAATCTTCAAATTCATTTAGTAGTATTAAATTTAATCATTTACTTTAGGATATATTGATCTCAGTAAACGTCGTGTATCAGCTGAGGATGTAGAGAGATGCACGGAAAGATATGCAAAAGCAAAAGCTGTTAATTCAATCCTGAGACATGTTGCAGAATTATTGCATTATGATAGCGACGATCAATTGGAGGAGCTATATCAAAAGACTGCATGGCATTTTGAAGAGAAATATAAGAAACAAAAAGCCTCGGCATATGATTTCTTTAAACAGTCTGTCTTGTAAGTGTGAAAAACTATAAACAGGACTGATACTATTTATGCAATTGAGGATTGCTAAAATACTACTGTTTTAGGGATCCATCTATTTTAGCGGAGTGTGGTCTAGATGAGCATACGAAGGAAGTGCTGTTAAATAATATCAAGCGGAAACTAACTTCTCAAGCAGTGAAAATTAGGGCAGATGTAGAGGTAGCATGCTACGGTTACGAAGGAATCGATGCAGTGAAAGCTGCTCTGAAAGCTGGTTTAGCTCTTTCCACCGACGAACTTCCAATTAAAATTAATTTAATTGCACCACCCTTATACGGTACAATACTTATTCTGATGATTATAAATGTTCCCCGTTAAAATCGAAAACTAATCGTCTTATCCCTCTCTCAGTCATGACAACATCCACACCTGAGAAGCAGGATGGTTTAAAAGCATTAAACGATGCTATCGAGGCTATACAAAGTAAGATAACATCGTTAGGAGGCGTATTCAATGTGCAAATGGCTGTAAGTTTCTCCTTTACTGTAAATATGTATCTAAACACTTGTATCTATAATAATATTATTTGAATTTATAGCCGAAGGTTGTTACTGCGACTGATGAGGCAGAATTGGCGAGACAAATGGAACGGGCTGAACTCGAAAACGCCGAGGTCGCTGGTGACGATGATGAAGAAGAAGTGGAAGGAATGGACGGATTCAGTGGTGGCGAAGGAGACGATGATACAAAACCCGAGAACGAGTCTCAAGAAGAGGAATGAATGGAACATAAATCGACCATTTCACTGTCCTCCTTCAATCGTAATCATACTTCTCCAAGTATGTTACTGCCTTGATAGACATGCAGAATATTTGAAATAAATACACTAAGATCAATGTATTATAATTTATAGACAATTTTTTATTAACTGCATAAATAAACAAATTAATAATACTTAAACTGTTTTCAACAGGAAAGTTGTCCTGGTAGGGATATAAAAGAAGCAAAATATCTATTCATCTTTATTTATTTAACACATAGAAATACACGCAAAATGATTTCAAAAATAACTTAGATCTTACATGAATTTTTGGTATCGGTACTATCTTTTAATTTTAGAATTTCTCTAAACACAGTTTACATAATGTATCTAACTTAAACATGCACGAGCATGTATAATATTGTATACATATAACTATACAAGCATTATTTTTCGTTTCGTTTTATACTTTTATATTCCACTTAAAACAAGTATGTACAGTATACACACTATTAAATATCTTACATGTTCAAAATATCAATACGTATGTGTTTGACTCATGTAGGCAACATCAACAATCACATTTACATTTCATCGTTAATATAATAGATTTCTCATAATTCGAACAGAAATATTATTATACAAACTGAACATCATTTTTAAACAAGACAAAATATTTATTCCCAATATCTCAACATAGAAATTTTACTAAAACAATTAATTGTAAAACTTTTCCTTTTCACAGAAAATCACAGCAGTTTATTAATTTTACGTCGTCTGACGTCGTTATGATAATACAGAACACAAAATGAAAATGTACATACATTTTTATATGTATATAGTCGTAAATTGTAGAAGGAATAAAAGTAGATCTTTGTGAAACGTTTGCTCGAAATACTACGAGTAACTGCAATATTTAATTGCAAAACTCTTACGTCTACTAATTATTTAACATCATGAGGTAGTTACACGGAAATAAATATGTATTACAATGTCCCTCATTTTATTTAATTTTTATCTTATGCAGTTTAAGTTTAAAACCAAGTAATTCTGAAAGCACTCCCGAGAGAGCGGATAATAGTACCACTTTTGTAATTGTATACAAATACGGGTTGGCTGATAGACCAGATATTTTAAAAGGACATTCAAGTTCCTATAAGACGTAAATTAATTATATCCTGTAATCAAATAAAAGAGATTAACTTTTACATTACCTTTATTAAATCCGCTGCTAATTTCAGAACAT